GATGGTTGACAGGCTCCCTATGCAATAATATCATCATCAATGACAAAGACTGTTGCGATTGCAAATAAGAGTTTCTGAAATATCTAGACTGGATATGAATTTATGAGATTTCTAAGCTACCATTGAGCATGTGGGCAATTCCTATCGATTCCCTTTGGGGGTAAATTTAGAATATCAAGGCAAATTCACCCTCCATTGTCAATATTGGGATGATAAATGGGAGTAACAAAAGTCACATTGGGTGGTTCAGAAGGATACCTGTGTCTGCGAAAAAGTATGAATATCAGAAAAGATATTATAGGGTGATAAAGATGAGCTTCTCTTCTCATTTTTCAGTGAGGCATAGAGGTTTGGTATTGATATCTATAAAAAATGCACCTTTTAGGAATTTGTATCTTCAGAATGAAAACTCTCATAGCATATACTGTTCCCTCGGGCCCTTGAATTCCTTGATTTATCAGCATACAAACCGAACAACATAAAGTAGCAGTGAAAATTTAGAGACGATTAAAAGTAGTAAAAAAAAGTAAAATATAAAATACATAATGGCTTCAATACATGATAATGATGACAATACATTTTTGTCTTCAGAATGATTAAGAGAAACCCCATGGGGTGGATCATCCATAGGACCAAAACAGATTTGTTTTCCGTCAGAACAGCATAATACATGTATACACTTGTAATTTGATCAATCACAAGCAGGGTTGGATACATGTCTACAATTGTAATTAGATGGGATCTGAACGCAAATTGCTTGCATTAGGGTTTGGGTTCTCAGTTTTCGCACAGCAGGAAGGGAATGGATGGGGTGGGCTGGGCATACCTAGTGGGTGCACGTCGCCGGCGAAGTGCCCGACAAAGACCTAGGCAGCGTCGTCCGCCTCTCGCCGGCCAGGTGGAAAAACGCCGGGTGGTCAATGTTAGCACGGGCGGCGGGGGTTCAGATGCCGGCGGGCGGCGTTGGAGAGGAAGGAGCGCATGGGGAAGGAAGGATTGCGGGGAGGAGATGGATCGCACGATCGCGCGGGGGAAGGAGTGCCGGGTGCGTGATTGACGGCGCGGAGAGGAACGAGCATGCGGGGAAGGAAGGATCACGGGGAGGAGAGGGATCACACGATGGCGCGGGGGATGGAGCGCCGGGTGCGTGATTGACGGCGCGGAGAGGGATCGCACGGGGGAAGTCACGGTGGCTGGAGGGAAGTCGCGGTCGCAGGGGGTGAAGCGGACCGACGAAGCGATGATTGTCGCACGAAACGGTGGTCTTACTTTCTTTCTTTTTATAGTTGTATGTAGGAGATAACAAACAATCAAGCTACACCTGGTTCAGCCGTCCAGCCCATCCCTGCCTCCAGCGTATATACTCCAATACTCCATCTGTCGTAACATAAATAAATTCTTAGAATCACTCCTAAGTTAAACAACTTAATTTTAACTAACTTTATATTCTCTATGTTCTAAATTATAAGACACTTTAACTTTTATAGATACATTGTGTTGACTATGTACCTACACGTATATATCTAAGTCTATAGCAAAAGTTACGTATCTAGAAAAGCTAAATAACAGTGGGTGTTTTTTATTTGAGAAATGTTAAATAACACTAGGTTGTTTTGGAGTAATTCAACACTTGATTTTCTAGGGCGTACGATCAACGCTGTGATCAAAGTTCCTGTCGTCTGATTACCTTGGTTGGGTTTGGGGTTGGGTGGCCTTTCTTCTCCAGCTTCAGTAGGCCTAGAAGGAAATTTTGAGGAGAAAGGGCGGACCGTGGTGGTGGCGGGTGTGGGAGTGGTGAGGTGAGGCATCAATGACGCTGTAACCGGGGAGTGTAGGAAGGCAATTGGGTAGGACAAGAGCGAGGGTATAATAGTGATTCGTTAGTGAAGCTGAATTAGCATGGAGGTGGGGCGGATCCAACAATAAGGAGCCACCAGGGGCAAAGTAGGCAGTGGGGCAGGGTGTCGCATGAAGACACCATGAACAAGTAGATGGAGAAGAAAGAGGCTAGATTAGATGTAGAAGAAAAGAGATGGAGCATTGGACCTAGATCCAACGTTTTTTTAAAAAAAAAAACGAGTGCCCATTTCATCTGAAACAATCGAGTGTTATCTGTAGACAAACTTATTTTTGTTTTGAGCGTCACGGATGAGGGAATCCCACCTAAATGTTGGTGCAAGATTAGGTCAACCACCGGGAGCACACGCCACCGCACTACATGTGCGTCTAAACAACAGTGGATGTAATTGAGCGCTTCCTAGATATAGGCCTTTTTATAATCAACTAAAATAAGCTAAAATGGACTGATTGTAATTTAAACATGTTAAAATTTGTAGGTTGGTTATTATAATTAAAATCTCAGATTACAATAATCCTATAGTCCACTTGATACCCGCTTTTTTGGAGACTATGTGCTGAAAAATCCACTTGCCCCATTTATCTAAAATGACTCCAAACTAAAGGGCAGGATGTTACTAGTCACTTTAACCAACAAGAATCCATCATAATAAGAGATCCAAACACTTTGATTATTACGATAAATGTATAGTGAACACGTCCATAGTCCATGGAAATCACAAGAGACATCGTACCAACCACCCTGTAGATTCAAAAACAAAAAAAACCATATTCTATAGTATATCTAATAATACTAATTTGATGTCATAAATCTTGATTTTTTTCCTAGAAATTCGGTCAAAGTTTAAAATGTTTGACTTCAAACAACTCTAGAAATCTATTTATTTAGAGATAAAGGGAGTATACGAGAGTTCCATCTATTTAAAGTGGTTCACCTTACTCTTTTTTTTCACGTGTGACAATAACAAAGATGACTCCTAGCATTTAATAATTAGGTTATGGATTTATTAATTCGATTACATTTAAATGGACCCATTTGCCCAATTAAATTGAACGGGTGCCAATAAGTCATATATGTAGCACATGATATCATAAATGGTCCGTATCTAAATGGTTAGGCTAGTAGATTAGTACCGTATGTACGATAGGTACCATCCAGATAATGTCACAATAGTTAGGCATGTACTGTTATTACATATTATTAGTAGTAGTACCGTATGTACGAAGGGTACCATCCAAATAAATTCTTGGTTTATTCCAAACAGCCTATACAAAAGAACATCAGTCATGACCAATATGTAACCTCTCTACTAGTATGCGAAAAAAGAGAAAATTAGTTTCTTGGCCCTAAAGAATGATGTGCTTAGTTTCTTGGCCTTTTTTTGTTTGAACTTTTCTATCTGGCCTTAAAATGAATTCCGTTTAGTTTCTTGGCCCTTCCGTTAGTTTGGTGGTGTAATGGTGTTAACTTGTATGTGAAATTACACTTTTATCCCTAGCGCCGAATGCAACAGTACATCAGGCTACAATATTTTTCCAGGCATGGAATTATTATATATATATATATATATATATATTCTAGGCATGGAATTATTATTTTATTACCCCTGGCGCTAAATGCAATATTTACACATGACAACATCACACTGACCATTCTTGAAAAAATATTGTAGACTGCTGTATTGTTGCATTTAGCGCCAGGGGTAATAAAAGAGTAATTTCGCATACAAGTTAATACCGTTAGACCACCAAACTAACGGAAGGGCTAAGAAACTAAACGAAATTCGTTTCAGGGACAGATAGGAAAGTTCAAACGAAAAAGGGCCAAGAAACTAAGCACAACTTTCTTTAGGGCAAAAAAACTAATTTTCTCAAAAAGAAACTATAGAAAAGAATATCAGTCAATAGGAATGGCTCTATGAAGATCAAAGGTCAGACTCCTTTGCTACTCTATACCGATGAACCGTTTGATGCTATAGATAAATATTTGTATTGATCGAACGTTTCTCGTAGAAACTACAACTGCCGACTCTTGATCTATGGAGTAGTTATACCGACTGACGGTTCAACGGTGATAGTGAACTTGTAAGACACTATATTGGTGTTGTGGTGTAGCGTTTTCTCATAATTACCTTCATTTGGTGAGAAGATGTGAAAATAGACTTGTTGGCCACATCAAATCTTTCATCTGGAGGAGGTAAAGTAATCTTGATAAATTCAATGATCCCACCTTTGCAACTAATCTAATGTGCACTATGAAATTGGCGGCCAATATTATAGAACAGATTGACAAAAAATATAAAAAAAGCAATTGCTATGGCTTGATTCTAATATTAATGCTAAATAGCCACCAAACAATTTCAACTGTTTAATTAGCACTCCCACTCTTTCGCCCTGTTCGCTTGGTTTATAAGCCGTATTTTTTCAGCCAACGAACAATATTTCTCTCTCACAACAAATCAGCCAACAATACTTTCAGCCATTGCTTATCAGGCATTTATTTCATTCTCCAATGTCTACGGTCTGTAACCCATACGCCTTTGGAAACATATTTCATGGCCGTCTCTATTCTAGCCACCTCTAGAATCAATATTTTTAAAAGTTTAGTATTTCCGCCAAATTTGAAATTTCTTTCCCGGTCAGAAATAATAGAGGGGCCAGGATCTTCAGGAGCCTCTAGAAACGTGTACAGCACACAAAATCATTCAAATTGTCAACAAAAGCAGAGCCGCCTTTACAAATATTCACCATGTTCGCTGATGCTGAAATTTGGCTTATGCTGAAATATTATGAGAGAAAAATACCATTCCATAATTAAAAAGTAGTTCTGAATAAGCTCAAACGAACAGGACGATTGTTTGAAAGGAGGCTGAGAATCCCATCGTCTTTTTAAAAATGTATTTTCACAGCTGAGTTTGTGGGTCTCAAGAAAACTTACAACGGTACAGTCGCCTGTCCAACTCAATCAACTCAAGAAGAAGCTACAGCAGTACAAGCCCCGCATAGCATACGTGTGCGCATCAACCATGCAACCATGCTTGCTCATGGATGCTTATAAATATAGCTAGCACCGCATATATGCTTGCTCAGAGAAATTAATTAAGCATGGCCACCACCAAGGTGCTATCGGCCCGGTGCCGTTCATGAACGACGGTAGCGCGGCGCTAGGGGTCCCCTTGGCCGGCCTCACCGGCGACGACCCAAAGCTGTGGGTGCGCTTCTACCAGGGCACGTGGGTGCTGGCAACCTTTGTGCCTGGGATCGCCCCCATCCAGCAGAGCTTCAGGCCGCGCGGCGGCGACGTCGTCATTGCGAGCATTCCCAAGTCCGGCACCACATGGCTCAAGGCCCTGGCGTTCGCCACCATGGCGCGCGGCGTGTACCCACCGGACACCGCCGAGCACCCGCTGCTCCGGCTCAACCCGCACCAGTGCGTCACGAACTTGGAGCGGCTGTACAGCGCTGGGCAGGAGAGCATGATAGAGGCGCTGCCGTCGCCGAGGCTCCTGTCGACGCACATGCACCACTCCATCCTTCCCAGCTCTATCAGCAAGAACCCTGACTGCAAGATCGTCTACATATGCAGGTATATGTATATATTATATATGTATATATAACTACGTAGATCATCTTGTATGATTATGCATGTGTTCATCATGCATTCGGCCGAGATGCAGAGAGCCCAAGGACATGGTCGTCTCTCTCTGGCACTTCTGTAGGAGAGGCAAGCCGGACGTCTCGTTCTCCGACTTGTTCGAGGCTGTCTGCCAAGGAACATCTGTGAGCGGGCCTTTCTGGGACCATGTCCTCGGGTACTGGAACGCGAGCAAGGCGACCCCGGAGGCGGTGCTGTTCCTGAGGTACGAGGACATGCTGCGTGACCCCGCCGGCAACGTCAGGAATGTTAGCTAATCTACTGTCACCTCGTGAGAATACAGTAGAGAAAGACGGCGTCGACTTAACTGTCTACTGTGTGTAAACACAGCAAGGGAATGCGGCGCCGACTTTGCCCCCTGCTGTGATACAGTAGCCGCTGCAGGTGTAGGCGCTGCACGGCTCACCTGTAGCACTGTAGGAACAGGCAGTGACCGGCGCAGAGTCAGCCCTGTCAGGTTATCTAGTTATTGTGCCAGCTTAGGCGCTGCACATGGACTAGATAGTTAGAGTTGTATAAATAGACATGTATGGCAACTTAGTAAAGAGAGCTCAGATTTACCATCACACAGATAGGGCTTCGGCCAACGCTGTTGTCTTGTATTGTGCGTGCTTACTCTGTTCTTCCTTCTTCTTCTAGCTCGATCCGTAGTGTGTGGGTACGGACAACGTCGGTACGTGGTCTGCACGGCTAGTGTGTGCTCGGCAATATTAGCGCGTGCTCGGCGAGACCCTCAAGTGCTCCACTCGCCTGAGCCGGTGCTCGGCAAGATCGGCTGGAGTGGTTCACTGTCGTGAGCCGGAGATCCTGTGAGACCAACGAAGTGGTCTGGGAGACTAGTGGTCTGGGGCTAGTGGTCTGGGAGACTAGTGGTCTAAGGCCAGTGGTCTAGGAGACGAGTGGTCTGGGAGGCTAACTGTGGGCCAATAAGAGGTATCAGAGCCGTACAAGCGCTGTCGTCATTCTAACCGATGGCGATGACAGGCGGTTTGGAGTTGGGCGACGGCAGTGGCACTGTCGTGGCTGCCCAGCCACTACCGGAGGTAGTTGTCCGCACGGTGTGGAAGGTCAGCGGCACCACTTGACCGACGCTGACTCGCACTAACTATGGAGAGTGGTCGGTGACCATGAAGGTCAAGCTCAGAGCCCGACGGCTCTGGAATGCTGTTGACAAGGGCACCGACGTGGAAGAAGACGACATGTCAAGATTGGAGGCTATCCTCGCTCATCGCACCGACGGAGTATAGGGAACCGTTGGGGACGAAAGAGCTCAGCTAAGGAGGCGTGGGAGGCCATTGCGGCGTCTGCGCGCGTCGGTTCCGACCAGCGCAAAGAAGGCGACGGCCCAAATTAAAACAGAGTACGCAAACCTCAAGTTCAAGGATGGTGAAACGGTGGAGGACTTTTCCTCCGCTGCGAGACGCTCATCGGCAAAAGTCAAGAGCCACGGCGTCCACCATCGACGAAGAGGAGGCGGTCTCTAAGTTCCTCCACTCCGTCTTTACAGTAGTACATCCAGATCGCTCTATCCATAGAGACGATCTTGGACTTGTCCACCCTCACCATCGAGGATGTGGCAAGCCGTCTACGGGCGGTGGACGAGCGCTGGTGCAAAGCGACGATAACGAAGGACGACGCTGAAAACTCCTGCTGACGGAAGAGGAGTGGGCTGCTCGGCGAAACTCCGGGAAGGCAGCCTCCTCCAGTCGCGGTGGCAATGGCAAACATCGCGGCAGGGCTTCTTCGGTGAAGAAGCAAATCGACTCCAACACCTATCGGTGTTGCGGGAAGATGGGCCATTGGGCACGGGAGTGCCCAAATCGCAAGAAGGAAAAGAAGGCTCAGGCTCACCTAGCGAAAGCCGATGATGAGGATGAGGCTACTATCCTTATGGCGACGTTCTGTGCACTGCACGACGTCGAGGCCATGGAGAGGGAAGAGGCGACGACGGTGGAAGGATCTAGCAAGGCCCTGAAGACCGTCAACCTCGACGAACCACGCACCCAAGTCCATCTTGGGCATGTGGCCGTCGACCAGGAGCAGCGGTGGTATCTGGACTCTGGTGCCAGTAACCATATGACGGGCTCCAAGGACTCCTTCTCCGAGCTCGATCGCACCGCACGGTGAAGTTTGGTGATGGCTCAAGGGTGGCTATCCAAGGCGCGCACCATCATCTTGATGATGCCGAATAGGGAGCACATACAGCTAAACGGATGTATACTACATCCCGTGAGTTGCGTTCGACATCATCGAATTGGTCACCGGATGAGCGCGTAGCGAGTTCGATCAAGGACGGCGTTCGAGGATCGAGAGAGGGAGCGGACTTCGCCAAGAAGAGGTCCTCGAATCGAGACCGGTAGAGCAGCGACTTCTCGCCAAGGCACTCCGAGGAACCATGGATGTGGCATGCCCGGTTCGGACATCTCAGCTTCGACGCGCTTGGTCGGCTGGGGAAGATGGTCCGAGGGCTACCCCACATCAAACACGGAGGCGAACTGTGTGACAGCTGCCTGGCCGGGAAGCAGAGGAGGCTACTTTTCCCAAAGGCGGCCAAGTATCACACGAAGGAAGCTCTCGAGCTAGTTCACGGCGACCTCTGCGGGCCGATCACGCCTGCTACATGCGGTGGTCGGCGGTACTTCCTCCTACTCGTGGACGATTGCAGTTGCTACATGTGGCTGCAACTCCTGATGAGCAAGGACGAAGCGGCAGTGGCGATCAAGAAGTTCAAGACGCGCGCGGAGGCCGAGAGCAGCAAGAAGCTCCGTGTACTGAGGACTGATCGGGGTGGTGAATTCACTTCGGTGGAGTTTGCTACGTACTGCGCGGATCAAGGTGTGGGGCAACATCACACCGCGCCATACTCACCACAACAGAATGGCGTGGTGGAGCGACGGAACCAGACAGTGGTCGGCATGGCCCGATCCATGATGAAGGCCAAAGGGATGCCGGCAAAGTTCTGGGGAGAGGCGGTGACCATGGCGGTGTTCATCCTCAACCGCGCTCCAACCAAAGCCCTAACGGGCAAGACGCCGTTCGAAGCTTGGTACGGGAGCAAGCCGAACGTGTCATTCCTCCGGACATTCGGTTGCATCGCCACGCCAGAAGACGGTTGAACCTCACCAAGCCGGAGGACGAGAGCACACCCATGGTGTTCCTAGGCTACGCGGAGGGTACCAAGGCGTCATCGGCTCTATGACCCATGCGGGAGACAAGGTGCTGCTCGCGCGACGCCAGTTCAACGAGGAGGCGACTTGGGACCGCATGGGCCGAGCATGGGGGAAGCGGAGGCTTCACCAACACCTTCGTCGTCGAGCACTTGGTCATCCACGGCGGTGGAGATGCTGCAGAACAGGTGTCATGCACTCCGGGAGGAGCGCCGAGCACTCCGGCGGTAGAGTCGAGCACTTCTGGGGCAGTGCCGAGCACTTCAGGAGGGATGCCGAGCACTCCGAGAGGAGTGTCGAGCACTTCTGGAGGAATGCCGAGCACGCCAGGAGTGGAGCCAGGAGGTTCTACAGTGGCGGCGACCACTTCAGGACGGGTACCGAGCACTCCCATGGCGGAGCCAAGACGTCTTACTGTGGTTTCGACCACTCCAAGACTGAGGCTGGGCACTCCTACAGTGTGGCCGAACACTGCAGGAGTTATGACGAGCAGTCCAGAAGCAGTACTGAGCACTTTAGGTGCTATGCAGGGCACTCCGGTGGAAGAAGGAACTTCATCACCCTCGATCGAGTTCGCCTCACCTCCAAGTGACATCACTGAGTTTCGTGGACGCCTACCACGAAGGTGAGGAGTTGAGGTTCCATAGGCTGGACGACATCGTCGGTGGCACAGGTCCCTCAGGTATGGCGGGTAGGCTGCTCAACGACGCAGAGCTGCTACTCGTCAGTGCAGAGGAACCACCCACGTTCGCGCTAGCCGAGCGCGATGGAAACTGGCAACGGACGATGTTGGAGGAGATGAAGGCGATCAAGGAAAACAAGACTTGGCAGCTCGTCGATCCACCTCCAGGATGCCGTCCGATCAGCCTAAAGTGGGTGTACAAAGTCAAAAGGGACGAGCTCGGCGCCATTGTCAAGTACAAGGCGCGCCTCGTCGCCCGAGGCTTTGTCCAGCGCGAGGGCATCGACTTCGAGGAGGTCTTTGCACCAGTAGCGCGCATGGAGTCGGTCCGTTTGCTACTTGCTTTGGCGGCAGCAAAGGACTGGCGCGTCCATCACTTGGACGTTAAATCGGCCTTCCTCAATGGCGAGCTGGCAGAAACGGTCTTCGTCAGGCAACCTCCAGGGTTCGCCATCAAGGGAGAGGAGCACAGGGTGCTCCGACTGCGCAAAGCGCTCTACGGGCTGAGGCAAGCCCCTCGAGCATGGAACGCCAAGCTTGACACCACGCTGGGCGAGCTTGGGTTTCAGAGGTGCGCAACCGAGCACGCGCTCTACACGCCGACAAGCCCTCGGGAAAGGAAGAACTCGTGGGTCGGTGTGTATGTGGATGACTTAATCGTCACCGCGCCGCGACGGAGGATATCAATAGCTTCAAGCGAGAGATGGCAGCTCGTTTTCGAATGAGCGATCTCGGCGCTCTCTCCTACTACCTCGGCGTCGAGGTGAGACAGGGGAAGGAGGAACTCACGCTCGGGCAAAGCGCGTATGCCTCCAAGCTGTTGGAGAGGAGCGGCATGGTAGAGTGCAAGCCATGCATGACTCGATGGAGGAGCGGTGAAGCCGATGAAGGACAACACCGCTGGCGAAAAGTAGATGCAACACTCTATCGGAGCATTGTCGGTGGTCTCACGCTACCTAGTCCACACAAGGTCGGACATTGCGTTCGCCGTGGGCTACGCGTCGGCCGCTTCATGGAGGATCCTAGAGAGGATCACTGGGCTACGGTGAAGCGGCTACTACGCTTACGTCAAGGGGACGATGAATCATGGAATCATCTTCCCAAAGACCGTGGGAAGTAGGCTGCAGCTCACGGTGTTCAAATGATGTAGACATGGCGGGGACATCGACGGATGACGGAGCACCTCCGGCGTACTCATCTTCCTCGGGTCAGCCCCAATTTCATGGTCGTCGCCGAAATGAAAGGTGGTGGCGCTATCTACGTCGAGGCGAGGCGTAGTGCGAAGCGGCGACCACGGCCGGCGTGTTGTTGTGTGGCTACTGCGCCGCTGCCGGGCGAAAGCTAACCGGCGTGGAAGCTCACCCACCAAAGACGATGGTGGACAACCAGCCCGCCAACGCCCTCGCGAAGAATCCGGTTCTCGCACGACCGAGTAGACACATCGACGTGAAGTTCCACTTCCTCGTGGGACTGTGTTGATGGAGGGCGATCGTCATCGAAGTTCGTCGAACTCGCTTTCGGCAGCTCACGGACGTCCTCACCAAGCCGCTTTCGGACGACTTCGACTCATGGAGCTGAAGGAGATGATCGGCATGGAGGGGGTACAAGGGTTAGCGAGGATTAGGGAAGATTGTTAGCTAATCTATCGCCACCTTGTGAGAACACAAGCAGAGGAAGGCGGCGCCGACTTAGTCTGCCCTGCCGTGAACACAAAGAAGGGAAGGCGGCGCCAACTTTGCCCCTCGCCAGTGATACAAGAGTCAGCCGCAGTCAAGGTGCGCGCCACGGCTCACTCACCTGCAAGATCAGAGAATGTGCAAAGGGTGGACGCAGCAGTCAGCCGTCAAAGTTATCTAGTTACTTGTATCAACTTGGGCGCCGCACATGGACTAGATAGTTAGAGTTGTATAAATAGACATGTATGACAACTCAAGAAAGAGAGCTCAGATTTGTCATCACACGACAGGGCTTCGCCAACGCCGTTTGTCTTGTATTGTGCGTGCTTGCTCTGTTCTCCCTTCTTCTTCTAGCTCGATCCGTAGTGTGTGGGTACGGACAACGCCGGTACGTGGTCTGCACGGCTAGTGTGTGCTCGGCAATACTAGCGCGTGCTCGGCGAGACCCTCAAGTGCTCCACTCGCCTGAGCCGGTGCTCGGCAAGATCGGCTGGAGTGGTTCACTGTCGTGAGCCGGAGATCCTGTGAGACCAACGGAGTGGTCTGGGAGACTAGTGGTCTGGGAGACTAGTGGTCTGGGGCTAGTGGTCTGGGAGACTAGTGGTCTGGGGCCAGTGGTCTGGGAGGCTAACTGTGGGCCAACAAGGAAGCTGGCGCGGTTCGTCGGGCAACCCTTCTCGCCCGCCGAGGAGGAGGCGGGGGTCGTCGCGCAGATCGTGAGGCTCTGTAGCTTGGACAATCTCTAGAATCTGGAGGTCAACAAGCCAAGCTCGACCTCCCAGCCCTTGGCGAATGACTGGTTCTTCAGGAAAGGGGAGGCCGAGGATTGGGTGAACCACATGACGCCCGACATGGCTCGCCGTCTCGACGCCATTGTCGAGGAGAAGCTCAGCGGCTCAGGACTCTCGTTCGCGTGACGACGACTGATGCATTTCATTTGGTCCTATGAATTAAAATAAATTGCATATGCCGCAGGCAGACGCATATATGCATGTTTAATTCCTTTTTTTCTCTCGCGCTCTCATCACTTAGCAAGTTTGCTGTCTTTTGACACAGAAATTGTAACCACGCGAGCAACTCATCCATTATATGTGTGTCAACCAATACTGTTGAAAATAATGAACCATACGTACGTGAAAGAATCTTTCAATTTCCGTTGACCTATGCATGTTCTTATTGTCAACTAGACACCGAAACCTATGGATCTGTTTGGCAGTGCTTGAGCTCCGAGACCTAATATGAATCTTAGTGGAGCCCTGTCAAGCATGTTGGATCCACCTTAGCTTTTTCTATATCGCACTGACACTCCAACTCTAGGTCCATCACTCACCCCTCCTTCTCGAGCGCTCAAGGCAACCACGTCGTGTACTCTCATCCACTTTGTGAAGTCGCCACAGGTAACCCCTCTCATGGAATGTAAGTCCTACCTTGCCAATCTCACTCACCTCTATGTTGTGGCTAGGCCTCTATGTGCTCAAAGGCGCCCGCTTCACAGTTGGCGGCCGTCACCATGGGCTTTGTTGTCTCCTTTCTCCCTTTCCTAATTTGACTTTGTTCCCTTAGAAACTAGATCTTGCTTGTCGTCATTCTCCGCCTCATCGACCGAGCACGCTCCCTCGCACGTTGGATCTTTTGCTGCTTGCACTACACCACAGCCCCAAAATGGCGATGCACCATTGGTCGCTATAGGTGGATACAACGACACACTATCAGTCGGTATAGATCTATGCCGACACTTAACTGCTGCCGCTGAAAGTGGCGTCGGGATAGGGTTATAGCGACCGATAGTCTGACGAAATGCTGAAGCAATACCGACCAACAGGCTGATGGCATATAGTAGTTTTACCGTCCAACAGTTCAAGGCTAAAGGGATTTATACCAACCAACAATCCAACGCATAGATCACATGACGCAAAAATACATTATTAATCTCACATTAACCAAATTACAGTTTTCTTTTAGTCATGAAACATACAAGGTCACATTCAACATGAGACACAAAATCGAGTCACAATGACATAGCTTAGATTTCATTCATGCCAATTAGTACATGTAATAGTCATGCTGGGTTGCACACCTCACAAAGAACATGAGACACCAAATTACAAATTATTCTTCACAACACACAAGTCTGGCTTGCACACCTAAAAGCTAACATGCCCAATGAGTTCTTTACAAAATGTTACATCATCCAAAGCAACTAGCATCCATCCCCAAGCAGTTCTTTACAAAATGCTATATCATCTAAAGCAACTAGCATCCATCGATGTTTCATCTCCATCTTACAAAATGTTTGATCTGCTTGTTGACACACAAAATAATCACGTTACATCTAGCGCCTTCCATCCGGAAAATCAAATCATATTTTTCGGTTCCCAACTTGTACCGTAGTACTTTGTTCTGGTCGATGCGAATGCTCCAATTGTGCTTCTAGTAAACCGTTAATCTCACCAAGGCGTTTCTAACTAACGAGACATTAATGATAGTTAGTTGAAGTGATAGTTAGTTCAAATAAAGATAAATTTTGCATAATCAAAACCATTTTTTGGGACACAGTAACGTTTATGGTTATTGAAGCATCACAAATAGCGCTTTGATGAATGTAAAATTCAGAAAAAAAAACAGCCCAACAAATACATTTAGATGGCAATGAATAAGAACAAGCAAAGACCAAATTCTTTTGATAGTGTGTTGTATGCATAGCGAGGTGTGTTCAAAGATCACAAATTGCAGCTTTGTATAAGTAAAATTCAGGAAAAATACATACCGCAGAGACTTGGATGAATGTGATGCTTTGGTGACGTTCAACTATTACAAATGCTCAACACAGTGCGATTCGAAGTTTACGCCAACTCAAGAATTGCCTTGGGTTCTTGTGCTACTTCATTATTGTTCAGAAAAGTTTTTACAGCAATAACTACCATGGTTAACTATTGATTTTATACATTTATCTGTACAATGCTCAACAGCATAGCTATGCCATTCAAGAGTAGCAATTTTCTGCACAAATAAAAAGTAGATTTTTTCTCTCTATTTTTTTTGTTTGAGTTCCCAAGTCAAAATACATATATAACATTGAGAAACAAATGACTGAGATCATGAAACAATGGGAGATTTGAAGGCTCAACTCACTTGAGGCAATGAGCTGTTCTTCGAGGCTCATTGCAGCACGAGGCACATCTCATCCAATTAGCAGGTCTATCTGCGCGACCAGCGATTCAAGCAAGCCACATGACATAGGGGTGTTGTTGCCTGCGGCTTGAGGTCGCCGCGCCCTAGTGTCCCGGCATGTTGTGGACCTGGGTACCATGAGTTCTGCGCTTGGACGCTGGCCTCCATGACGGCGAGGTCTCACCATGAGCACCGTTACCGACTCTAGCCTGCCGCTGCCATGCAAGGAAAGAAACTAGCACAAGTAATCTCCTCCAATTTCAGTCAAGAGCTGCATTAGTAACTGTGAAAGAACAACTGCATAACATCTCACATTCATGTATCAAACAACATTATAGTAGGTTTAGATAAAGGTAAAGTGTGCATTGCTGTTGCAAATAAAGAAATTATGTAACATATAACCAAAGATAACAAAGAAAGGTATGTCTGGTGGCTCAACATCTCGCAAGTTGTCTCATGAGTGATGAAAAGGATCGGACCTATGAACATTCTTATACGAGAAAAAAGAATACAGGAACCTAGTTCCATATTCCAATTTCCAACATATATATAATTGGATAATGAGATTTATATGAGATTCATAAACTTCCAACAAACTCATAAATCAAAATCCACACTGTGAATACAGACTTAAATGCTACATTTGATCATCGAACCCGGATCAATGCCGTTAAATGGCGAGATTTCATAAACATATCATTGCTTGCATGATAAAGTGATAAAAGGGCGGATATTGCGAGAGGACATACATTTCTATGCAATCAATTAAATATGCTTAGTTTAAGCAGATCATTGGGATGTTTGTTGTCTCAAAATTAATAATGTGATAGTGTGGCATGGATTGCTCTTTATACAGAGAACCCGAGTAGTGTCATCGCTGCATATATATGTGCAAACCCAATGTCCTTTCTTTGGATACGTGGTCATGCGGTCTGTGTGCTTTGATCTCGCTTTACTCAATGTTGCTAGCCCTTGTTTTCCTCATCCAATCCCTCCCCGAAGCCTATTTAATCACTCCTTTTGTGTGTGGTTCAGCCTTGGAAGGTCATTTGGATCGGTGAAAACCAAAGACAGATTGCACATACAATAGGATAAGTAAATTGTGCAAAGAAGAGAAGGGAGGGCTTGGTCTCTATGATTTAGCAAAGGTGTTGATGAGCCCTCTTTTCTCTCTTTCAGTCTTTCCAATCAAGAAAAAATGTTTCCATGCTGATGTTAGAACTTGGCATTAGAGGCATGCTTGATGTTGAAATTGAAATCCCTTAACATGTGGCGTGCAGACAACAAAGATAATGATTCAACAAGACAAGCCGATAAGCTATCCTCTATTCAATCCACACATCCAAAGACTTGTAAATTCAACTTGTAGATCAATAAATTTAATTTGAAGGGATTGAGGAAGGGAGTAGCACTTGCCTGGTGTTGGTGACTTATTTTAAGGTAGGCATGAAGATGGTCCGCAAAATGAGAATTTTTTCAATGAGCCCAAGACTTGTAAACATTGAATACTACTAATGCCATGTCCGATACTACTAACACTACTATTGCCATGTTTTCCTATGAAGTATTTGGTCACTACTAAACTACTAATACAAAGTAGTATTCATTATGCGAGAACGTGTCAGAGGTAAGTCTACTATGTTCAAATGTATACTACTATACCACCGAACTCATCGCTAACTTAAAAAGCGCTTATGCGGCTAGCCCAAAATGGACCTGAGAAGAATTTGGAGAGCTGAGTTAAAATGTTTACTCAAAGAACTGAGTTCAAGGTGTGAGATAACTTGTAACATATGTTAGTCAATAAACGAACTATTAATTTTGGAACAAAGACCGAACCCGATGATCTAGGAGCCATATATACTCACAAATCCTATCTTTTCAATTAGCCAATAACGATTGCATCAGATTCAACATTGTGCTTGTAGCATTCAAGAGTGCTCCAAACAGAAGATACTCAAATAGGGCCATGCTTGGTGACTCATCAATGACAAGTCAATTATCAAGAACAAAGAAAAGACATTGAATGAGAAAACCAAATACTACATACATACTTGCTTTGAAAGAATAAAGTAGAATACAATATACTACTTGTGAACGACTTTGGATCTGTCGGGAACACGAGCGAGCAAATGAAGATGAAGCCTCCCAGTCCCTACTCACAACGATTACGAGGAAAGGATGGTCCTAGAGACTGGACAACGTTTCTCCTCCAAAGACTTTGCAAGAAGCAATTCGTTTCATCATCAAATTAGATGGCGATTAGGAGTCGGAGGGAGTTGGGAAGGAGACCAACCTTTATCGATGGGGGCGAGCATACATGGATCGGGAGTTTCACGGCTCATCATCGTGAATCCATGGATCACTCCACCCTCCGAGGAGTTTGGTGTGGAGTAATCTAATTAGGAAACGATGTCGTCGCAGATGCACCTCATCCTCGCAGCCTGATCCATTACGCCGGCAATGCGTCGTTGCGGATCCGAACAATCTGCGGCAAGAAGCGTCACGAAAACCAGATCAAATCGTTGGTTGGAATCGATGAGGATGAGGGAGGAGTCACGCCTGATCGCAATTGAGGGTCTGCATATGAAGGGTCGCACTGCCGCAAGCGGGTGGGCGCCAACCGGGTCACAAGGCGCGAAGCGATCTTGGCGATTTATCTTGGCGGCGGCAACAAGCGGTCTTAAGGCGGTGGAGGCAGTGGAGTTGGGCGGGCGAGTGCCGCGACGGAGGATGGGGCGGGTGG